TTTTTTGTATTTTGAAGGAACTCTTGCAGAGTGAATACAGTGGAGAAAAAAATACACTTACCGACTTGAGGATTCTGACGTGCAATTGTTTTATCAACTTTTAATTGAGGCTGAAGAGCAGCTACTTCCCATGGTCTGAACTCTGGTGCTGTGGTAACATTCAGGAGATATTCCATTACCGTATCACTAAATAAAGAAAGTTACAAAGGCATTAAACACAAGTAACACGTGCTTCTTCTGCAGTTGAAAGCAATTCAAATTAATCTGTAAGCAACAAAACACATCACTCAAACCAGAGTAATTATCAGCACTGCTGTACAAAGTAGGATAATTCAATTCTGTAGCATTTGTATGCTGAGTAACATGACACAGAAGTTGAATATTAATATAGTAATTTATTTATTACAAAAGCATGAGAATAGACATTCCTCCCACCCTGTAAAATGACGTCTTCACTACCCAACAGTGTTAAAGAAGGCAGTAATTCCCTTCATAGCCCATCCAGATACCTACACATGGTCTCGCAGACACTCAACAGAGTAAGCCATTTTCTCTCTTGTTGCGTGCACGCTACAAGAGAAAAAAACAAAATCCATTTCAGCAAAGAACACAGAAGTGCATTTTCACACGTACTCCCTGTTGATCAAATTAATCAAGATACAGACTGGAGTAACTACTTATCCTTAAATCTGTCTGGGATGACTGTTTAAACACATACAGAGCAGAAACAGACTTAATTAAAACTCACATCTTCAGTATTCAAGTAATAATATTCAAGTTACATAAGTGTCTTGTGACCATCAGAATTTAAGATGCCACAGTAATTCAAAGTAAAACAGCAAATAAGGTTGAATAGCAAAACATGAAAAAAAAAAAAGGGCATATGTATTAAACAAAGCAATTTAGAAATTCCTCTTTTTGGGCAGAAAACATAGTGATCCTGTCCTTCTCCTTCAACATATCTGTTACTGACAGGACCAGAAAAAGCGTAGAGTCATAAACCACTATTTTTAACCAAATAGATAAAAAAACCTTTCTGTATGATTTCAAGATACACTGAAAGAAAGCAGGTATAGTGAGACCTCTCTTTTACTCCTCTTAGTCTTGTTTTCCAGGCTTAAAACCCTCATGTCACTAAAGCTAACTACTGTCTGTACTGCTTCCAAGGTTGCAATCTATTCACAAAAGATGGAGGAAGAAAAAGCAATCTACTGACTTTAGGAAAGTTATTCTCAAAGTCTGCAAAGGCAGAAAGAAAATTAGGCTCCTAGAAAAATCATATTTCTTCCATGTGCACAATATTTATATTCTGTTTACTGAAAGGTGTTTCTAAGATACAAACCATGAGCTCATCCTTGAAGCTTAACAGAACAGAAAGCACAAGATCTTCTTTAACAATATTCACTATTCAAGTACCACGCTGAGCTTATCCACCTACACATATGTGCTTATTGTCTAATGTTTCCTTCAGTCCTAGAGCTCCTTTGCATCTCAGCAACACAGATTATCTTTCTATGTGGGTACAAACCTCAGGCTGCCCCCAACAGCTTCAATGCCACGAGTGATCCGGAAGGAGGAAGCTCCTTTAGTAGTCTATTAAACAAACAAAAAAAGGGCAACTTACAATTCTAGCTATTTAAAACCCAGATAGTGAGTTGAGCAGTAAGAGAAATTACTCAGAAATATTCCACACATGCACAAAACTGAGTTTGGCTCAACCACCTGAACTAATTATTACTGCAGCTTAAGTAGAATTAGTTATGTGTATATTTGAATACAGATATACTATATATTCCTAGTTTAAGACCCCAGAGGAAAGCACAATTATAAATGAGTATTCCTTCCCATCTTCCAGGGTGCAGTATCATTTCTCCTGCACTGAACCACATAACCAAGTACCACTGTACATTGTTCTCCACTTCATAAGATCTCTTACACTAAATTTTACCATACCATTGATTTTTGCAATAATAAACCTTTGACCATTTCACCTACTGTCAACATAATAACAAAGGTAATAAACACCTACCAAATTAGATGCAAGACGAAGCAGGTGAGTAGTTCCCAGGTTACTGGTGGTTTCATATCTGCTGCCTGTTTTAATAAACACACCAATTCTTGAAGCTGGAGAAAAGTTTTCCAGAGATGCAATAATTAAGCCATTTGGTAATTTTGTGATCTGTATTAAAAAGAAAAAAACCTTTGTTTTCATTCAGTGGAAGTACTATCACAGCTCTGCTCTGACCGAGTTGTAAAAAATAAATTTAAAAGGGGAAAAAAACAACCTGTATTTTTATACTGACCTCAAGATCCCGAGACTCTGGAGATAATTTCACTTTTGCTGCAGTTGCTGAGGATGACACTTTAGGAGCTACTTTAAGTGAGTAAAATCTCTTCTGGAGGAGAAAGCATAAGAGAATGGATTTCCTCAATTAGTTCATCACGTACATTCCTTACATACTGAAAAAGATTCTGACTTTAAAGTAGAAATACAATGAAGGACTTCAAACACTGGAGTAAAAACAGTGATTGCCTTGTAATTCCTCTGATTATTTTTTATATCAGTCAGAACCTATGCTACCTTGCTCAAGTTCTCTGGAATTTCAAGAAATAGCACTGTAAGGAATCTTTCCTCCCCTCCTCTCTTTACAGCTGTGCAGTGGGTATCCCTCTCCATCCCACACAGTCTGTAGGACACCTGCAGAGCAAGGCACTGAACCGAGAGCCACACCAACCCACACATGCAGCACAACACCTCAGAGGTAACTTTGAACTCCTCAGGGGTAGGCAGTTCAGCTCCTGAAGAGTCACCTCAGAGTTCCGACCTGTCTGCACTGACTGCTGCATGCAAAGAGGACATGTAGGCAAGGCCCCAGACTGCAGTTTGGACTTCTTAAAATAGGTCCAGAGGAGGTCATGAAGGTGATCAAAGGAGCACCTGCTACACAGACAGGCTGAGAGAGCTGGGGGAGTCCAGCCTGGAGAAGAGAAGGCTCCAGGGAGAGCTCACTCCAGCCTTGTGTACCTTAAAGGGCTCTTAAAAGTGACAGAGAGGGACTTTATACACTGGCAGATAGTGACAGAACAAGGGGGAATCATTTCAAATTGTCAGAGAGTTACATTAGATTTTAGGAAGAAATTCTTCCCTGTGAGGTTGTTGTTGTCCTCAACATGTTGAGAATTTCTGGATGCCTCATCCCTTGAAGTCTTCAAGGCCAGGTTGGATAGGGCCTGGAACAACCTGGTCTAGTGTAAGATGTCCCTGCCCATGGCAGGGGGCTGGAATGACATGATCTCTAATGTCCCTTCCAACTCAAACCATCCCATGATTCTAGGATTTTAATAACCAGAAGCAGTCCTTTCACATGAAAGAATACCACAAGAGCCCTGCATTCAGCAGCTGGCAACAGAAATGACAAGACTACTGGTTTCAAATCTGAAATGCTATTACTTTCCACCCACTTTAGAAGTTGCTTATACTAGTAAATTTACATATTACTCTTGTTTTCACGTCAGAAAATAACTTAATTCCCATCCAAGGTGAAAACCGAGTGACAGAAACACCATTGCACTCGGCTGCACGGATGCCAGTGATGTAATTCCCACTGCTTTACCAAAGACTGTTCATTGTATGAATCTAGGAAAAACTCCTTTCCTCCCGCACCAAGGGCTTGGTAAGACACCTAGTTTTAAACTCTAAAGTCTGCTTATTTTTGAACTATTACTGCATATCTAAGACTGACTCACACGCTGTCACTCAGAAGTCATTCTCCATGCCACCGGAGCGCATTTCCAGCGGCCATCCAGCACAGGTTCTGCCCAGCTGCCCGCCCGCTCCGCCAGAGCCTTCGGGCAGGACGAGCCCCCTGCCCCTCCCGGCCTCCAGGACGCGCTAACGCCAAGGGCACCACCTTGTCTCAGGCAGCTGAAGCTTCTCCAGCCCGGCGGGATCCCCTCACCTCCCTTCTCTCCGTGCCCCGTCGGGCGCTGCCGGGGCGGCTCTGGCAAAGCCCGGGGCACCGCTCACCGCGGGGCGCTCCGGGCCCGGCCCGCGGCCTGTCTGACCTTCAGCCGCCGTGGCCCCGGCTCTGGCGCCCACGCCGACCCCGCGGGCAGCCCGGCATCCCCGCTGCCACGGCCGCCGCCCGCCGCCCCCTGCCCGGCTCACCGCCCCGGGCTGGCCGCGGTCAGGATCGCCCGCAGCCCCCGGGCCCAGACAGCGGCTGTCACCGCCAGCTGCGCCTCTCCCGCACCGCGCACGACGCGCCCGGATCCCGCTCACCGAGAGGGAACGCGCGGCCACCGGGAACCCCTTCATCGTCCCGCGCCCCTCGGCTCGGCCCCGGCCAGGACAAGATGGCTGTCCCGGAGGAAGACCCCGCCTTCCCGGCACGCCCCGCGCAGCGCTGACCTTCCAGCGAGCGCATCCCGAACTCGACTGCTCCGGCGGGTGGCGCGCCGGGCGGCAACAGCGCCACCGCGCGGGCACAGCGGGCTGCGCACCTGCGCGGGGTGTCGCCCCCTCCCGGGCACAGCGGGCCGTGACACCCTGCGGGGCGCGGGGTCCCGGCGCCGACGGTGCCCCGGGAATGTGCCCCGGGAATGTGCCCCCGCGAATGTCCGCCGGGAATGTTCCCCCGGAATGGCCCTCGGGGCCATGCCTCGAGGCGCAGAGTGCCGCTGGCGGCTGTCCTTCGGGCTATCCCTCAGGACGCGGGATCCCAGCGTGGCTGTGCCCAATCTGGGTCAGGGCCATTCCGTGGAGTTCGCAGCCGCCTTCCCGCTGAGTGCTGTCTGGGTGAGGCGGGACAGCGGCGGTGCCCGCGGGTACGGCAATGCCGGAGCCGCCCTGGAGCACGATTTCAGCGCGGACATCGCGGTGTCCGCCGCGCCCGTGAGGGGCGTGGGGCGCGGAGGCGGAGCCGGCACCGGCGGGGCGGTTCCGCGGCGGGGCCGGCGGCAGCGGGGCCGCCCCGGCGAGCTCTTAGCGGCGCTGCGAGCGGTGCGCCTGTCCGCATTCTCGGAGTCCCGTCATCTCGTCATCCCGTCCCGTCTTATCCTACCCTGTTCTATCCTATCCTACCCTGTTCTGTCCTGTCCTGTGCTATCCTATCCTGTCCTGTCCCGTCCCGTTCCTCGCCATGGGCTCGACTCCTCCTGTGTTCATCGGCGCCGAGGAGGTGGAGAAGCACCTGCACCGCGCCAGCCTCCTGCTGCCGGCGCTGGAGGCCGCCCTGGCCAACTTCTCCGCGGGCGCGGCGGGCGGGGTGGTGCAGCCCGTGCGCACCGTGCTGCCCGTGCCCCGCCACGGCGGGTGAGGGCACGGCGGGGCTGCCCTCACGGACGCGAGGGGACAGCGGCAGCGGGGGGCGGACTCGCGGCGGGGCAGGGTCCGGGTGGGCGGATTTGGAGCATCGGGAAATGCCCTCGGTACCGAGTTACTGATTAAGCGGTCGGTAGCGGTCGCAGCCCGCTGGCTGTGAGCTCCCGGGATCACGGTGCGTGAGTAACGCAGGAAATTCTCCCCCGAGGTACCTCGGAGTCATGCCCGCGTACAGCGCTGCCGACGATGCGCTGACAACCAAGCTGGTGACTTTCTATGAGCACCTGAAGGACTCCTCTGTGCCTTCCCACCAGGCGACTGTCCTCCTGTTTGACCCCAGCAATGGTACTCTGAAGGCTGTAAGTCTCGTGTGTCCTGCATTCTTCTCTGCTCATGCTGTCACTTCTCACTTCTGCTTCTTGGAAGCTGGAGCTGGTGTAAATTGTAAAAATTCCTGAGTTTACCAACATGATTTGGCCTAAAGCTGTCTGTGTTTCGTTTCTGTTAAACTGTACTCACCGTGCTATTTGCTGCTGCTTGTGATTTTAATCTGATAGCTCAGAGTGTAAGTGGAAGAGAGGAATTATTAGAAGAAGTTTATCTTGCATTTGAAAGCAAAAATACCCCCCACCTTGCTGGGTAAAGAATGGATCTTGAACTGTCTTAAGTCTCAAGTTGAAAGAGATTTACAATTTGCATTGCAGGGACTAGTATGATGATTTGCATTGCAATTTAGTAATAATGATTTATTTTATAAATTTTTTAAAACTGGTCATGAAAACTGTCTTGAGTTCTTCTACCAAGCCCCTTGAGCTTTTGGCCCCATAATTAATATGTGTGCAGTAGCTAATGTACATTGAGGCAGGAGTGATAGACGTTTGAGGAATTCCATGGTTCCCTGTCAGCCCCTTGTACAGACCAGGACAGTGCAGACTGGGGAACCACTGCTAGCTTGCACTGCTCCCTGCTCTTCCTGGAGCACATTATTGGAGTCATATCCATGTATTCCCTGTGCTGGAGAGCCAGGGAAGTGCAGTGCATCAGGAGCTGGGTGAGTTAGAGGTGGCTCTTCTCTGATAATTTTCACTCCTTTTGTGCTGGGTGGAATGATATGGAAGAACTGGAATAAAGAGAGGATCTGCCCAGATCAAACGTGACTTTGTATGGTTGCTATGATAATAGCTGCCAACTTCTACATCTTTTATATCTGTAATATCATTCACAAATTGGATGAAAATGTTTGGTATTTATTAATTTTTCAGTGTTCACTTCAGTCTGTTTGAATTTTTTTAAAGGTCCTGGATGGCAGTGTCATTACAGCAAAACGAACAGCTGCGGTTTCTGCCATTGCTACCAAGGTGTGTCTTCTGTTCTCTAAGTGGGGCTTGGAGTTATAAAATAACTAGAACAAATTATGCAAATGGATTTTCATCCAATACAACTTTAAATTAGATTTATCGTAAAATATGCACTTTCAGGGAAAACTTAAACTCACTGCTTTAAGTCAGTCATGTCTGGCTTTTACACTTTGTGTGTGATTGGAGAAGGAACCTGAGCTGTATTTTTGTGGCTTCTATTGCACCCTCCTCTAGGAATTTACTGAGCTGTCTTTCACTGTATTTTCTTTCTTTTGTGTTTGTGTTAACATGCCCCTTTATGGCTTTGGGTGATGAAGCTGTGGTGATATATTGAATTTTATTTAGATAGATGCCTTCTGCTGTTGGGACAGGACAGGTGGGTGGCACTGGACTCGTAAACAGAGGAGAAAAGCACACTTCCATTTCTTTTAAGATAAATGATGCCCAGTATAGATGGATAACTTGTCCAGAGGTGTCTGTCTGTCAGTGTCTCTGTTGTCACTGGAAGGTGTCCAGATGGCTGTCCCTGACCATGGCCATAAACTTCAGTGTCTAAAGACAGGTGAGGTGTATCTGGCTGTGCAATTTCAGTTGGAAATTGTTGTGTTGGATTTCTTTTTTAAAAGCTGTTTTTGGTTGGGCTGCTAACATCAGGAAGAGAGCAAGTGACCATGCATTGCACAGCAGGATTTTAGCCTTCTCCTCAAAGGCTGAGGCAATAAGAAGAGGGCCAGAGATGAAAAGTACTGTTTGTCACTCCTCAGCTTTGCATCAGAATGAAGGCTGATCTCACCGTTTTGTGAGGGACAATCTTCATGCCAGGGTGACTCTATCCATGGCAGTGGAGCTACACTGGCATGGAACTGAGTGAAGGACCTGTCCCCAGGAGCTTCTCCTGAACCAAAGGACAGAATGATTTACAAGGAGCTCCTTGGACAGGAGGTTACAGGACCTCATTCATTGTGGCCGTTCTGTATTTGGTCAGTTCTATGGTTTTTAGGCAGTCCATGCTGGCTTCAAAGGAGCTTGGCTGCTGAAGGTACTTCAAGATCAGATCCTTCATTGTCATCTGTTCTTTTGGAAATTTTCAGGAGTGTTTGAGTTTAGCTCATATTTGTCATCTTGTCTTCTTTAGTGCATTTGCTTTTCAAAGACCCATGCTCTTACGCAAAGGACCTTTGAAATCAGTGCTTCACAGTCTTTAAAAGGCACATTAAGACAAATTCTTACTACTGAAAAATGGGATCAATGAGATTTTTCTCCATTTGTTAGCAGCAGAATAAACCTTGAGAGCCTGCACAATTCTGAAGCTTTTTAGGCAGGAGTGGGTGGCCACAACAAATGCATAAACAAGACACAAGGATAGTTAGGGCTGGACTCCAGCAGCTCTGTCTTCCCCTTTGCCAAGTACTGGTGAATCACAGACAAGAATTAAACCAGAAAGCCAAAAGCAACTGTAGAACTGAATTTTATTATTTGTTCTTCAGAACCATCCCTACTTTTACAATGTCTGTGTATTATGGCTCTTGCAATGCCAGGATATGCTTGTGGTGTGATTTATGGCTTCAGTGAATTCAAAGAGGTGGATTAATGTGGGGCTGCCAGGGCCAGTTTACCTGTGCAGCTGCCAGGTAAACTGTTGGTTTTTGGGATTCAGTACTGATGGTTTTTGGGATTCTGAGCCCTGCTTTCAGCCAGTGCAGAACACCAGCACTATTGTTTTACACTTAATCAGCCACATGGATGTGTTAATATTGGAGTGTACTGAGGTCTCCGAACTTGCTGTTCATGCTATTTTTTTGTATCTTAAATCTGAATTTCAAGTCAGACAATTCAACACTGGAATTAAGCCAAGAAGTGCTTTGATGCTACTGATGCTTGCTTTTACATTAAAAAAAAGCCCAATACATATAGTGATTGTTGAATACTTGTTTATATACTTTTTTGTTGTTTAAAAGGACTAACAATATTGCTTTCTTTTGTAGTACTTTGATATATATTTGTAATGCCCGTTAATATATTGTCCTTACACATTCTCTTTTGATTTTTTCTTTCTGATACTGTTCAGTTGTTAATGCCACCTTTTGCAGAAGTGCTGTGCATTTTGGGAGCTGGTGTTCAAGCATACAGCCATTATGATATCTTCACAGAACTGTTCACATTTAAGGAGGTAACAGACACATCTTAAAGAAGATACATTTATTTTTCTCTAGTACGTTGCAGGATTCATTGTAAAAAAAGTACAGCAGTGAAGTTGTATCAGGTCAGGCTGGGATGGAGCAGCCCCCACAGTGCTGTGCACTGGCAGCTCCAGGGCTCTGATAACACCCCAGTGTTTTGGCTGCTTCTGAGCAGTGCTCACACAATATCAAGGCCGTCTCTCCAACATTTGTTTCTGTTCTATTAAACTGCCTTTATTATGACCCTCTAATATTTCCATCTTATTTTCTCTTGCCTCTCCCTGTGCTGCTGGGGAGGGGAGTGATGGAACAGTTTTGTGGGCACCTTGTGTCCAGCCATGGTCAATCCACCATAAAAGTTAAGATTAATCATATTTTTGTTCTGTTTCTACAGAACCCAAGAATAATCAGAGCAGCAAGAATTTCTTGCTCAAATGTTGGTATTTAACATGAAAAACGGTTGGAATCAAAGTTGTCTCAGATAGCTTTTTGTCTGAGAAGATCCTGCTGTATATGCCATACTTGGATAAGTTTTTTGTGACTTTTCCTTAAATGTAATTTTCAGAATTATTTGCATTTTATAAGAGTAATTTCCTCTACAAGGAGATGTTATTCTGGCATCACAAAACAGGCATTCAAATGTAGCTGAACGCTTGAAATTTACTTATTTGTATGATAAGAACATTAAAGGGGAAAAAAACCCCAACCTTTAGGAAACGTTTAACTGTCTACTGAAGACTTAAATTAAGTATTCTGTTTCAGCAAGGAGAAACTCTCCAAGTTGGTCTGTCTTTGTTTTGTTTTTCTCCCCGAGGTGAGGGTATGGAATCGCACCAAGGAGAGGGCAGTGAAGTTTGCCAGCTCCGTCGGCGGCCCCGTGCGGGTCTGCTCTTCCGCCCAGGAGGCGGTGACAGGGGCTGATGTGATTGTGACAGTCACTATGGCAACAGCTCCCATCCTCTTTGGAGACTGGGTGAAGCCAGGTGCCCACATCAATGGTAGGTTCTGTTCCCCTTGTGTACAGCAGGTGTTTATTAGCACTTTGTTTAGCATCACCATCTGTTGAGAAGCAGTTCTCTGTGCTTCATGGAATGAATGTTCTTTGCATTTTGACTTTTCCTCTTTAGTGAGGACCCTTTTTCCCAGCCCTGTCCTCCTGGAGTCAGAATGCCTGCATAATCCAGCAGGGGATTTTTGCTTGAGCATGGGATTTGCTCTTTTCTCGTATGCTCTTTTCTCTTAATGGTGCATCATCTTTGCCCTCGTGTTGTCATTATTCTCACCTTGCTCTCCATTTAAATAACCCATACAAATGTTCTTATTTCTAAGTAGTTACTGCTCATTGTTACATTGCCCTGGTGGTCTCATCTTTTCTTCCACCAATTTTGTAATCTCTTCTATTTGTTTCTTTTGGGGCTGATCACCCCAATTTACTTTTTTACTTGAGTTATGAAGATGCAATGACTGAGTTAAGAACATCATAATTTAACCTCTAATTATAGTGAGGTTTGGAGGGGTGCTTTTTTTGTTGCCTGCCTGGTAATGATGTTGCCACACTATTGTTTGGAGTCTCTGGATGTGCCTCTGTTTGTTTATTTTTATTAACTGTGGGCCTTGTTCAGATGACCTTGTGCACTTTCCAATAGCCTGGAAAAAAGACAAAAGACAGTTCTCAAAGGGAGCAATTTAAAGAAAGGTCCCACATTCCAGCAGCATCCTACCAATTTTTCAAACTCGATTTAGTCCTTTGTCATTGAAAGTTGTTGTCTGTGTTGTGTCAAGGCACGGGAGTCAGGAATACAACAAAATCAATTAAGGTCCACAGCCACTGAGGCAACACAGACACAAAGGCCTCTCTCCTTTCCTTGCCTTTTTTTACCCTTCATTGAGGCATTTGTACTATTTGAAGAGGCATTTGAGCAACAAATGCAAATGTGGCAAATGCAAATTCATTGTTCCTTAACAGCTGGACATGGAAAAAATATCTGAATACAGTATAACTGGGTAGTCCTTTTAGTTTTTGTTTGGTTTCTTGTTTGCTTGTTTTTTTAAGCCCATAACATGTTGATAATGATCTTCGTGCTGTGTATAAAAAATTAAGCTCTGTGATTTGTTTTCAGTTTCTCTGGATAAGTGATAATCTAATAAAGGTGTGCAAAATTCATTTGGTAATGATCTGATGAAAACAATGATATAAGAGATAACACACAAAGGGAGAGGATTTTCTTTTGCCTCAGCTACTCAGACTCTTCTGACAAGGATATTTTACTGACATATCAAATCTTGCATGTTTTTCTGTTGTCCTATCAATCAGTATTTCTCCAAGGCTAACACTGGATTTTTTGTACATTACATTTCCATAATAGTGTTGATTGTTACTTCACACGTCTTTTGAACAAAATGTGATTGGAATTTGTTTTAAACATTGCTCCCAAGTTCATCAGTTTTATTGCTTTAGCTGTTGGAGCAAGCAGACCAGACTGGAGAGAGCTGGATGATGAGCTGATGAAGAATTCCGTTCTGTTTGTGGATTCCAGAGACGCTGCTCTTACAGAATCAGGAGATGTTATTTTGTCAGGGGTAAGACTTCCTGAAACTATGAGCTTTATTTTTGTGGCAGTTGGGTTGCATTTGAAATGAGTTGGTGTTGATGATGAGCTGTACTGAAAACTTCAGTGCATCAAATTTAATTGTTGACACTTTCCAGGCAGAGGTTGAAGGATAAACTGGTTTCAAACTGCTCTGTCTGTGACCAAGCCATGCAACCTCTGTACCTACCATTATATGACACCATATTACAGTAGCATGTTTTCAGCACTGGCTTTTGATGATAACAATGTATTGCTGTTGAAAGACCTACATTTCCTGCAGTGTTTGGTTATTGTAAATATTCTTCAAATCTGTTTATTAAAACCTGTAACTTTCTTCCCCTGAGACTTCAGTGTGATTGACACTGAATGGACCAGCCCAAAGAATGGACCACACAAGCCAAGCAGACACTGATCTGCACAGATTTGCCAGCAGGGATTCTTTGAGGTTCAATTGAGTTTTCTTTTTCTCTTTTAATGTGTCTGCAGAATAAATATGATTTACACTTTTGAGGTTTAACATAAGAGCTCCAGATATGGTAATGTGTGTGGAATCCCATGTGTTTTGTTGGACAAGTAACAAGCTATCCTCTGTAAAAAAACTTACTGGCTGTGGAAAGTCTGCCAGCTGTTTTTCTTTGAAAACCATTCTGCTCCTCTGATTTCTGTCCAGTTTCTATATAATTTGTCTGAATGTTGATCTGCTTCACCATGGAAAGTAATCAGTTTTGGGATGCAGCACTGGAGGAGTTCTTTCTTTTGAAGTCACTCAGAAGAAAAGGGGTTTTTTCCCTCTTAATGTATGTATGGGTATTATGTTTCTGTATAAATATGTTTTTTTTCCACAGGCGGAGATTTTTGCTGAGCTGGGGGAGGTATTGAAGGGTACAAAACCAGCCCTGCCTGAGAAAACAACAGTGTTTAAATCATTGGGTAAGAACAGCCCCTCCTGTGTCCAAGTCTGACAGAAAACAATGCCTTGTTCTTTATTAGGTCCCCCATGCGTGGGAAAGCTGCTGATCATCTTCAGAACCGCTGTGGCAATGCACTGTCCACAAGAAAGTCGACTGTGATTTGCATTTCCCCTTTTTATTTCCCTTCTTGTTTATCTAGCAGGATTGATGTAATGAAAAGTGATAGGAAAGCAGGCAAACAATAGAAGTCCATTTTCCATTTCACAGTTGTTCAAGACATGACTGCAGCATTTATTAATAGAGCTGCAGCCCGACTGCCCCGCTGTTCCACCCGTGGGGTCTGTCTGACCTGAGACAATGTGACAGTGTCCTGTGGGGCTGGGCTTTGGGAAAGGGTGGCCCTGGGGATGAATTACCATGCTCTGAGCTACATGACATCTCCAAAAGGGCCCAGTTGTGATAGGAACACTGAAAATTAGATTCCTACTGTTACATTAACTTCTTACAGCACACCCAACCCTGCATGATGGCTATGGACTTTGAATGTAACACTGTAGGTGTTTGGGATGGGAAATAATTCCTGTTCCTGTCCAGTTAGATAATCTCCTGAGTATTCCTGTTCCCTTCTGAAGCAAAATCATTTGTACAGCTGAGTAACTGTTTGAAGGTAACTTCAGTTCTTTTTCAGGGATGGCAGTTGAAGACACAGTAGCAGCAAAATTTGTTTATGATGCGTGGTCAGCTGGTAACTGAAGAGAGAAGTCTACAATGCCAATGAGGCCAAGAAAATTGTTTGCACTTAGTTTCCTTGAATCCTGTGTTAACAAGAAAGGCACCAATCCTATCTAAGTCCTTCAAGAATATTCAAGAAGGACAAGTAAAATTTCAGCAATAGACTAATTTCTAAAGTCTTCTAATTTCAAGTATTAGCTACTTGCAGTATTGTTAATAAATGTCTCCCTTTTGTAACAGCAAGTATTAGATGTTTGCAGTGATACTAACAAGGGTATCTTTCCATATTTTGGTATCATTCTGGAATCAATGCCTTTCTTCTCTAATTATTTATGTAGCAGAAGCCTGTGTGTAGATTTCATGGTTTTTAGAGGGATAATTAATTCTGGCGTAAAATAGATCAGTTTGTAGAATGGACTCTGGCATCATATTTACCTGTGATGGTACTTTAAATGCAGCTGTGGGTTTCAGTGCTCCAGTGACAGTGACCTTGTCTTCAGCACAAGGAGGGCTGTGGGCTCCTAAGCACACAGCCCACCTCTAACTCTTTTCCTGGACACACCTTCCCTTCCAGCTCACTGGAAGTCACCATTTTTTTCACCCCTGGCAATCCACCTCCTTTTGCCCTCAGACTCAATGATTTTTCACTGAGGGTGCAGTTCTGAGTGGGGGTTTATGTAATAACCATACCTCCCTGCAGTTGGTTTCTGCTCAGTACCTCCCTTAGAACATGCCTCACTGGGATATTGCCATTTTCATATTGCAAGGAGTCACACAGAATGTGAGGACTAATATGTGTTTTCATTTAACTTTTATCTCAGTTCTGTAGGGAAATATTGCTGTTAATCTCTGGTGCCTTTAAGTTGTTTTTCTAAGCTTCTTGAAGGCTCGAGCCACACAAACTGATTTCAAGTATGCAGGCAAATATTTTCAGTTTGGCTGTACCATGCTTCAATTGCTAATTGTTCTATTATCACAGATATTAGCTGGGGCAGGAATTTTCATGATCCTTTCCTGGCAGAGGAACCCAGTGACATAAGGAAAAGTTCCAGTTTTGTGCTGTTATGCAACTGCCTTGCAAAAAAGTGAGCATCTGCTGAAAAACAGCTATTGCCCTGGAAACAAATTCCTGTCTCAGGCTCACAAGTTGTGCCTTGGGAAGTTTTATTTCCATTTGCATATTATTTCATGCAGGCTATTAAGTGTTTCTTCATGCTGTGGAAGAGTTGGATGACAGGGCATTTTATAACATGTCAGTAGAACAGAGAAGAGCACGGGAAGGAGTTTCAGGAGCAGCTGGCATTAAAGTCTTGGAGGGTGGATAGGTAAGTGTAGAAGAGGTTAATGAGTACAGTGCAGGTGTGATGTAAATAATACTCCCAGTTGTAAGCCTGGTGTAGGCTAGTTGGAAAAGTACAAAGTGGTAGAGGTAGCATAGAAAGGTACCAGACCCCTGATAGGCCTGAAGGATGTTTGATGTGGATCCAAACTGAACTCCACTGGTCCTGTTTATCCCATCAGAAAAAAACAACAGAAATTTCTCTGTGAGCTTTTGTGTTTTAATTGTAGCAAAATTACTCTTCTGTCTTTACATGTTTTGTTTCTTCTCTGTCATTTCTGAAGTGTTCAGAAGTTTGTGTTCACTTAGTTCCTTGGTTCATTCATGCAGAACTACACTAATCTGAGGTAAACGTGAAAGCAAACGATGCTCCATTATTCAAGAACTCTGTGGAAACTTGCAATTAATAATTATGACAATATTATCCCAGTTCCATGCCAGTGTTATACCAGATTTGCAATTTGAAGTGAGATGTAGTGTTTGGGAAGAAGACAAGTCCAGTTTATTTTCACATGTACTCCCCTACAGACTATGCACTTTAAAAAAATAAATGGGGCCAGTCCAAAGACCTGGTTCTGAGAGCCCACATTGTTCTCAGCTTCATTGGCAGTGGGAGATTTTGGGAGCCTGGCTTCAGTGTTGTACCTCTGATGTCATGAAGTTCAGTTACAATGAGAATTGCTTGGATGCCACCTTTAGATTTTCTGAGGGGAAATAATAGCATCAATTTCTGTGTTTCCTTCTCTTACAAACTAATGGATCATGAAATTGTGTGACTTGCATTTGTATTAAAATTAAATAGATACTGGTGTTTTTCTTTGACACTCATTTTGTTGTCCATTTCTTTTCTGGTTTGTTGTTGATTTATTTGATGACAAGAAAGTATTCAAGTTGTTGCAGTGACTGCAGTCTCAGTAGATGTGATCACTGAACGTAAATGGAAGAAATAGGGAGTGCTCTGTTCCTCTGTGGTACTCAATTTCTCAGTTGTCCCATGCTGCACATTTTCTTAATGTCTGTTCAGTGCAGAGTATTAAATCCTTAAGGGAGGAGAACCTTGTACTTGGCAGGGCTGTGCTCATGTGGGATTGCCTGGTTTTATGATTTGGGTTTGGGTTCTGCTCTAGGATTGCACATGTGATACATAAGGTCTCTCCAACTGAACTGACAGGAGTCACAGCTAGAATTCCAGTGCTTCAAACTCTAAAGGAAACAAAGGGGTTGATAAAATCTGAAAACAGCAAAACACATGAGTGGAAAAAGCAATCATGGAAGGTTGCACAGAACAGGACTTTGATGTGATTGCTTAATGTAAGAACATAACTTGCTGTGTACAGGAACCCAAGCAGGGAAGAATGCAGTATAAAGTCCATCTGAGAAAAGATACTATATTATACAAATCACAGCCACAAGATTATATGGAAAGAAGAAACGTGAAAAACCAGATCATTAACCAGGATTAGCATCCAGAAATGCAGAATACCCCTAAGGAAAAAATCATAGCTGGCTAATGGAAAGATATAAAAAGAGCTTTAAAGATAAATGTTCTGCTAATGAATGTGCAACTAAAATCTGTGATCTTAGCCAGGGCATGGCTGCTAAAAGCACTTTATTAGATTCACAAAACTCAACAGGAGTGATTAATTTAAATCTGATAGTGCTGGCTTCCCAAGGGAACAGGGGAACCCTGCTGTGAACGCCTCCAGATAGTGTGAAGAGCAGGAGCTTCCACAGCAGCACAGCTCATTTTCTTTTTTTATTTTCATGAGCTGTGTGTGATACACAGCTCTCAGGCTAAGGCTGACAGCAACCCACAGAAAATGGTGTGTGATATGAATCCTCATTTCTGGGACTTTGCATGGAAAATGCAGCCTATAGGAACCAAGCTGGGGATATACCAAAATAGATGCAAAATTTTGAAAATAAACTTCAGCTTCTTGTAGTTAGAAGTACAAGCAGCCTTGATGACATTTAGGACATGATGGGTGCTGGCAACTGGATCCAGTCTAATGAGACAAGAAAGGAATACACAACTCACAGTGAATATCTCTTGGGAAGCTACTTCATGTATTTTTAAATTATTGTCAATATAGAAGTAAAAACTTTATTGACAAATATATAAAACTTGCAGTAAATTTGTCTTATTTACATTAATTCAGAGGTGATTAGAGTCAGTAAACCACAGCTAAAATCAAGATTCAGATTCTTTTCCTAACATACCACCAGTACTAGGAAGAGTGGTTTTACTTATCTTACAGAAGCAAATGGAGAAAACTCAAAGCTCTCAAGCTCTGGGAATGCTCTTTGCATTTTGGTTTGGAGAAGAAAGGAAAGGCTTTAATAAGGAATGCAGCAGGCCTGGCTTTCACTGATATTTGAAATTATCTGGACCAAAAGAAATCCAATCCACATAAACAGTTCTGGGAGAAAAAGCTTTTTGGCTTTTACCTTCACATTCTTGCTTTTTGGCAGAATGTACTTTACTTAATATCCTGTTCACAACTACCCACCCAGAGAGAAAAATTGTTATCCCTGCTGTACTTTCCAAAGGACTTGGTAACCTCTCTGCCTTTTGCTTTAGCAGACTTCTGAAAAGAGTTGACCACTCTTTGCAGAGAGGGAAAGATAATGAATCAGTGTGTAGGTTACAACAATAGGAATGATAATTTATAAGCAAGTATCTACAGTTTTTCCAGGGTTCTTGAGTGCCTGTTTTCTTTTATTCACAGCATTCAGGACTTTCTTTCTTGGCCCAAGCTCCATCTGAATGCTCTGTAGATCTTCATCAGAACATAGCATCAGGGCTTCTAAATCAATTTTTTCCCTCATGAAGACTGGAAGAAACTCATCCAGCATCTGTGATGCCAGAAATACCTCAAGGGGCGTATTCTCTGTTTCCTCATCATCCCAAACAACTTCTTCCTCATTCCAAGGGACATCAGCACTGCTTGCAGCATCATCTTCCCTGCCATTCTCAGTGTTTTCATACTGAAAGAGCTCACTGGCTATTGTATCTCTTATACCTTCTTTCTCAGAAGACACAGTTTCAGGATTTACCTCTGCAGCCAAATTCCTTCCAAACACAATCTTGCCAAGACCTGGCCGCTGAAAAATGGAGAGCTGACTGTCATTACCAGCAAGGTTTTTCTCTCCAAGGTCATTCAGTAATTCATCTTCCTCTCTCTCATCAAACAAATGCATCACACTTTTCCTACCCATATCATCCTCTTGGTCATTTCTTTGTGTTTCCTGCCTTCTTGTGCTGTCGGCTGTCTTTTTTGTCTTGAGTTTCAAGGTATCTTTCAGGTTTTTGGTTAAAGTACTTGTGGTATTTGAAGCAAATAGCCCAGGCAGCTTTACCCTGGAGTGCGTTCCTTTGGAAGAATTCACTGTGCCGACCTTTTCTTTAATATAATTCCGGTTCATTTCATGCTGGTGTTTCTCCTGGCGCTTCTCACATTCCTTGATTTGTTTCTCGACGTTCCTCTGGGCCTGTGCCTTTTGTTTGGAGACCTTCTTTGGATTCAGCAGGTTCTGCTCGGTGGCAGCTTTGTCCAGGATCTGGATGCACTCCTTGCGGTCCCTGCTGGCAGCTGCCTCCAGGGGCGTGCGCAGGTCGTTGTCCAGAGCAAAGATGTTGGCACCAAAGTTGACCAAAAAGGAGACGCAGTGGATGTGGCCATTGCAGGCAGCGTGGTGCAGGGGCGTGTTCCCCCAGATGTCACACTTGTCCGGGTCACCCCTGCCAGGGAACACAGCACACAGTGAGCTGGGCTACCCACACTGAGCCCTGCAGAGGCACCGAGCAGACACCAGACGTGTCACTGCGCTCTGCTCTGAGGAGAACAGCCCAGGGACAATGGCTCAGCGTGGCTGCAGCTGCTAGAACAGGGCTGTGCCCCCTGACACAAGCCCTGAGTGAGGCTGTGTGTGGCATGAGCTCTAATTCCTGCTCTGAGAGTTTCACAGGGCTGACTGACTGCATCTCCCCACAAGGGAGCCAGGGCATTTCCTTTGCCATCCCAGGGTCTGGCAACCATAAGTGGGCTCAGGCTTTGACTTATTCTCATTGGAATTACTGGCAAAACTGTTTCAAGAACATTTCCATGGAATATTTTAAAGTGCTTTTGGTGATTTGTTCCTTTTGCATGTCAAATAGAGGGCAATATTAGATGGTTTCCTCCCTGGCCACAGTGATACACACTCAGTGAGCTCCTGCAGTAACTTTTTAGTTAGGTAATAGGTAAATGATCCATAGTAAAGCCCTGATTACTCCTTTGTCTCCACTGCATTTAGTTTAAGCCCAGAGAGATGCCATTGTTTTTCAGCTCTTTTGTTCTCTGTAAGAAACTCATGATGGTTTGAAAAGCAGAAGTTCATTTGAAAATAAAATGCCACATTTTTCAATTGAATTTAAAGCCAGTGAAAAATATTGCTTGATTTTTAACTCTTGCACTGACTTCACACTGAACTGCTGCTTGCAGACAAGAATCAGCTTGAATATTTGACTCCTTTTTGGTCAACTACACATTTGACAATGCTCAGAACAGAGCTTGTGTCCTCTTGTGACCAACCAACAGGGTGGCTACAGAAGCCAAAAATCTTTATTGACTTCAGAGCCAGGGACCAAATTTACAAGGAGAATTTCTACTCTTGGGAGTTCATTCAATGACTCGACTCGGAGGTCGGTGCCACAGCAGCTGTACTGTGAAAGACATGGTACATCCTGCCACAACTTGTCCTGCAGGCACTGATCTCTGCCTTTGGGGCTCTGGAGAGCAGCACTGCCAGGTTTGTTGGGGGCCAGATGTGAGCACACCCTTCAGCCTGAGCTGCCCCAGGTCAGGGATCCAGCAGAGCCAACCGTGCCGGCCACGGGAGCTCAGGCTTGGCCACAAGGAGTGGCAGCTGAGGATCAAAGTTTCTCCACTCAGACATGTGGAAGCCATGTGTACATCTCTCTGCTGTTGTGGCTGTGCCCTGGGGAGCTGCCTGCCTGTGGCTGGGCGTGCTGGGCTCCTGAATTCCCGCATTAGGGAGCTGGCAGGGCACCCTGAGCCCGGGGAGGGCCGGGTCATCTGTCCCTCCAGGGCCCTTCAGAGCTGCTTGTGGTCCCTGCTGCCCTTGGAACCTGCCAGCCTTTGAGTCTCAGACAATTGACAAACTCCAGTGGCTGCTCCCAGCTCAGTGGGGCTTGGGACAAGGTTTGACATCTACTCTGGGTTCTCATACTCCTCCTTTCCCTGCTTTCCCAAGGAAAAGGCTCACACAGAAGAGAGCAGATCCTGCTATTTATAATAAAGGTCTTGCCTTTATTCATGTACCTGCAAGGCAAGCAGAGAAAACGTCTCCTGATGCCTGGGAAGACAAATTATTTCAAGATGAAAGGGGTTTTTTGCTAGCTTTCCAAGAGCCAAAGCTTAAGAGTCCTAAAATCTGCAATCACTCTAAAGAACATTGCTCTGTACCTCAGAGCCTCTTTCAGGAAACCTCTTCAAGGAAAGGAGGAATTTGTTAAAAATAATTAAAATACTTTCTCACAGGAAAACATTAACTGACTGGAGAACAGCTCAAACATCTAAAATTCAGCTTCTCTCCCCCAAAAAAAACAGTGAGAATGCAGCCACATCTCTGACAGACACATCTTCTTGATTGTGTCAAGAAATCTTGGATTAAAATAGAGGTAAACACATATGTTTGAAGATTTTGATGTGTTCTCTACCAAGAAAAAAGACTTAGAAAAATATACAGAAATTTTGATCTTTGTGTCATCTGCTGTGATTTCTGTCAGCTTATGCAGTAGGAGATATATTTTTCACTCAAATTTG